CAAAATAATGAATGAAACCGTAACTTACATGAAAGTCATGTACTAGATCCAATACCATTTAGTTTGTTATAGCAATTGGAAAGATTTCATTGCGCAGCATAGAGGTTTGTTTACATGTTACTTTGGGATGCTAGGTATTTTGTGGAATTAAAAAGAATCAGGTACTTCTTTACTTTTGTTTTTAAATCTGTAATGTTCTTCAAATTTAATTAATAATAAATTGATGCAATTTGATACTTAGCAAGATATAAAAAAGGTAATGAGAATTTTGCTGCTTTTGTGTTCAGAGTTTTGGTTTTATAAAAGCAGATGAAGAGTTACATAACCGTTCAAATGCTCAAAACAAGTATAAGACTTATGATTTTCTATTGGTGTTTGAATCTTTATTCCTCTTTAAATTCATGACAATTCCATGTATCTGAATTAAATAAGCATATAAAAATCTTTTGTCTCCCCCCCCTTTTTACATAGATCAAGTTATTTTTTTCCTAAGTAACACATTTTGTTTCTTTTTCATTATAAGGCATTTAATGAACTACAAAGATATGTAACAAATTAAAATCTGATGTGAATGATGCTACTTATAGCAAACTGGGCTTCCTAATTAATACAAAAATTTAAATTCCCATTTGTATCATGCTTTTGATATGCACTGTAAATTTCATTAGGTTACAATTTTCTTTTATGACGATGGACCTGACTTCTTAGAATGTTACCTGTAAATATTTCACTGCTAAGTGTGTACAGAAAATATGAGCATACAATTTAACTTCCATAAACAGCTGTTTTGCCAAAATTTTATTTTGCTATATATTAGAGTGTGTTCTGTACTTTTATTCAGATTTCATAGTAAAGATGAAAGGGAGTGATCCACTTCGTTCAGTAGACTCCTTTCCCATATCCTAATTACAGACACTCTAGTAATTTTCAAGCCTAAAGAATTAAAACATTTGAATGTGTATGGAAGGTTATGCGATAAGAGGTTGGACAGTTTTCACAAAGGACTGCTTAAATTATATCATAAGAGTTAACTATTAGACATGAAGGTGGTACCACTGCTGTATGAATTTTGCTGTGACAGAAGTTTCTAAATATCATTCATTGGAGGTATGTGAGAATATCATTTAGCAAATTTGACTGAAGAAGGCAGCTTGCAGGCAGGGTTTCAGGGTACTTGGTCCCCCATTCACCTCAAATAAGAAATTACCATGTAGTAGGTGAGGCTACTACACAGCCTACAGAAAGACCAAACCAGCTTTCTAGGGAACACTAGTTTGGAGAACTCATCAGGGCCTTAACTTTTCTTACTAATTATAGATATTCAGACCTACAGTCAGCTGTCTCCATTTATCTACTCAGTGGCAGTCAGAAAAACTGAAGAAATGTGATCTACATCTCACCTTCTCTCCTCCCTTCCCATCCCTGTTCTGTGCTGGACCAACCACAAAGAAATTAGAAATGTAAGACTCACTGTGCCTGCTGAATACAGTTCATGAAGAAATAGGAGACAGAAGAGGGAGGCTCAGGGACAGGTTCATATTGCTGCTTCATTCTGGTGACACCCCACCACCACCACTGGTAAACTGAGCCCAGGAAATGGATCACAGTCCCACCACAGTTCTATCAGATGATAATAGTATTTTTTTTAAGTATTTATTGATATTCATGGTAAATCCTTTATATAAATTATTCTCTTAATCCTCGTAACTCTGTGAGATTGGTGTTGTTTTTGCCTTTGTTTTAACGATGCTTATTTTATAGATGAGGAAAGTGAGTCTGAGGGAAGTCATTTTTACAATAACCACAGCTAGTCCACAGCCCATGTTTAAAAATTCAGCCAGGAAAATTTTGCCATCAAGAAGTCAATTGAGAGCTTTTGGGTTCTTACAGGATCATGGCCACTTTCCAAATTCAAGTTTCTTCTCACATCTCAAAAGAAGGAAGGAAACATCATACGGAGAGGTAATCACCCATGTCCTAAGTCTGTTAATACATTTAGAAGACAGAATACTACAAACTGTATACATGTATGTGGGATATTAAGCATCTCAAACCAGCAGAGTCAGTTCTGGAATGCACACAAAAACAGAGTCAGGTGGGGATTGCACAGGAAGGAGAATGCAATGGGGTCATTCTCAGAAGCAGGTCTCACCCTGAATGGAGAAATGCCAAGAACCAACATGATGCCTAGTGAATCAGGCTCCTGAGAAGTCAAATGGAAGAGACTTAGGGCACAGAATCAGAATCTTGAGAAGGCATCACATCTTGGAGAAGGAAGTTATCCCTTAGAGAATAAAAGGGGGGAAAGGAAGATAAAAGCTCTGCAAAAGGATCCAGCAACCACACTCCTGGGTGTTTATCCCAGAGGGAAAATTTATGTTGCCATAAAAACCTGTATATAGCGCATGGCAACTTTATGTGTAATGGCCAAAAATTTGAGAAAACATAAATACCCATCAATGGATGGTTAATAAATTGTCTTATCCATACAAGGAAAATATTAACACTAAAAAGGAACAAACTATTGATAGAGCTTCAATCACAAAGGACTTTTGCTGCGTGAAAAAGGACAGTCTGAATAGGTCACAAACTGTATGATTCCATTTGTGTAATCTTGAAATAGAATTATAGAGAACAGATTCATGCTTGCCAGTGCTGGGGTGGTGAGGGGAGAGGAGCTGAAGGGTGTGACTATAGAGGGATAGCACTGGGATCTTTGTGATGATGGGACAGGTCTGGATCTTGATTGTGGTGCAAGTTATAAAAATCGACACATGATAAAATTGCATAAACTATACACAAAGTGTGAGAGCAATTCAAATTGGTAAAATCTCAATGAAAGAGAAAGGTTAAAGGGAAAAAGTCAGAGAGAAAGTGATAAGTATGAAAGACATCCCTTGCCAGCCAAAAAAGAAAAAAAGGAAAGAGGGAAAAAAATGTAAAAGCTGAAAGAGACCTAATATAATTAATTGGACTCCCTGAAAATACAAGGGAACAGTGGTTCTCAAAGTGTGGTCAATTAACCCAATCTAGAATGAGAGACAATATAAGACAATTGGACTGGCCTCTTCAGAAACTCAATGTTGGGAGAAGAAAAAGACAAGCAGCAAGTCAAATACAATGTATAATCTTTTATTGGATCCAGGTTTTAAAAAGTATAAACCATTTTGAGACATCTGAGGAAATGTGAATATGAATGGATATTAGATGATGTTGGAGAATTATTTTTAACTTTCTAGTTGTTATAGTGGATTTGTGTTTGTTCTGGAAGATGTCCTATTCAGAGAAGATGCATGCTGACAGATTTGGGGGGTAAAGTATTATGTCTGCAATTAATGTCAAAGCTTTAGAAATAAGTTTATATGAATAAACATATATAACAGGTTCAGCATCCCCAATCCAAAACCCAACACTTTGAGTTATACCAAAGTGATGGTACAAGTAGAAAATTCCAAACCTGAACTCATGTATAGGTTGCAGTCAAAATGCAAAGTTTTTTAGTCTCACCAAGGGAAAAGAGACCCTCTCAGCCATTTAAAAAAAATCATCCAGCAGAATGCCTTGTCATCCCTACAGTACCCACTTCCTGGTCCCTCAACTTTTCATCTAAAGAAACTAAAATACAGTGTACACTAACCTTTTAATCAAAACAGCATCACAGGTGGAGAATGAAAGCATGCCATTGGTGGTGGTTTAGCAGCTGACTCTGGTATTCTAGTGATCTACAGTGCTGCTTAGTTACCTTCAACACATTATTTTTTCACTGTACTAAATGGTATGTCATATTTACCATTAGGTGTGAATAAATGTAAGAAAACTATTGTTTATTGATACCATATAAATTTAATCAGGAATGATGGTGATGCCAAGCAACCACAAATCACTTGGTATGGCTGAGGTAGTGATACCCTTGCTTTCTGCACAAACTGCCTCATGCACAAAATTATTAAAAATATTATATAAATTTACCTTTAGGCTATGTGCATAAGGTATATATGAAACATAAATGAGTTCTGTGTTAGAATTGGGTCCCAATTGGGTCCCATAGGATATCTCCTTATGTATATGCAAATATTCCAAAATCAAAAAAAAATAAATCTGAAATCCAAAATGCTTCTGGTCCTAAAAATTTTGGATAACCTGTACAACAACAACCTGTACAGCAAAATTGTTGAATCAGAGACAGTTACACAGAGTTCACTACTTTGTATTTTCCTTTTTGTTTGAAAATGTATATGATGAAAAACAGAAATAGCACATACCCACACAGTTCACTCTGACATTATAATTCCCAAATCCTTTGGGAAAAATCCATCTATGTGTATGTATAGTCTCAGATTTATTTAAGTGGCATTCAAGATCCTCCTTTTTATAAAACTTAAGATTTGCAGTGGTGGCACTTCAGCCTCAAATAAGTAACACTGTTCTGCCTATTTAAAACATCTTAATTTCCTTTTCACTCTTAAGTTTTGTGTTCCTTTCAACCCATTTAGGAATGAAAACTTGGACTTTGTCTAGTGATAAATTCAAACCATGGTGAGACCACACCACATTTTAAAAAGGAAACCACTCCATTTTCAGTCTTCTTCTGACTTGAGTTCTCTCCTTACACAGGTTGCCTCCAAGATACATCATTTAACTACTTTATACCAAGAACCCTCAGCATCTTAACCACTTACCTTTCCCTGAACCTTCTCTGCAAGATCAGAACTTTGAATCAATTCAACTTGAAAATCCACTCCCCACTATGCCCCCTCTTCCACGTAGTCTTCTTGGTCTCCTCTCTTCCTGATGTGATCAATCCTTAGAAATCTCATACCATTTTGTACTGCTGGTGTCCCAGATGCAAAATAATCTCTCTGCCTGAGCCATGGAGATTTATTTCTACCACTCTTATGGCAATATGACATGAATATTTCTTTTACCTTGTTATTTGTGAAGAAACCTAGAATCTTGTATATTTAATCTGTTGAATGGTCACAACAATTAAAAGCCAAAAAAACAGTATGGTTAATATATTATCTTTATAATTCAATGAAAAGGCAGTGTTTATCATGTTTCATGTATTTTCTTCTCTCAAAAGTTCTCAATTCTTGTCACTGAAACCTGTAAGCAACTGAGCAGCTTCTGTGTTTACCTAAAATGGAAAAATACATATATAAAGAAACAGAACAGCTTAGAGACTAACTTGTGAAACTTAAGTTTATTAAGTAGAATGTGGTTTCTAAGAGTGTCCAAAAAACAGCAATAGGACATCGTAAGAATATAATTTCTTGCTAGTAACCAGATGAGACTCTCAGAAGACTCTTCTTCCACTTTAGTATATATCCCTTGACTTATGTTTAAGAAATCTTATTTGATCTGCTGTCTGTGTCAAACAGGAATAATTCTGTATTGCAGCAAGCAATTCATAACATCATGTTTACTGGTGAAAGTAAACATTTTCTCTATAGAAATTAATGTGTCAATGAATTCACATTTGAAATGAACACACTTGTTTTCAGCAATATTATACATTTAGACAATTATGCTTTCAAAGAAGTTCTTAATTCACCTTTATGTAATAGTGCCTCAATATAAAACTATCTACCTTACTTTATTGGAGATGTTTTACCTGTTTATCCTCTTCTGTGTGTGGTGGATAGTCCTTGGCTTTCATGAGCCAAAAAGCAGCAAGTTTTTTGTTGTGTAGTTTCAAGTATGTTTTTCCTAAAAGAAGCAAGTTTTTGCTATAGAAGTTTGGATCCACTGTACATAAAAAAGAAAAAAACAAAGTTAGCTCAGATGAAATAATGTTGCTTTTATTTTTAAAGATTTGGGTTTTTTTGGTCTAAATTCCAGTAATAAATTTGTGTGGTAAGTGATTAGGATAATTGGAATTCTCTTTTGTTCAACTATTCATATCTCAAATATTTGTAAATTACTATTTATTGAGTGTCTAAAATGTGCTAGACACTGTATTACACACATTTCTCATTTTATAAAGTAGGTATCTCCATTTTATAGATGAGAAGCTGAAGCTCCTGAGAGAATATAAACTATGTAAGGTGACTTTCTTTTTAAATCTCTTTTGTTCCATACTGTAATGTAATAGAAGAATGAATGGAATGCTTTACCAGATGTACACACTTTAAAGAGAAACCAAAGAAAAAAGCAACTATCTCTGAAAGATTACACCTAGGCTGACTTGATGGATGGATAGCATTTTAACAGAAAAAAGCAGAAACATTCTTGGCTGAGGGAAATTCATGACCAGAAAGCCTACAAATGAAACTATGGAACTATCTCAATATCCTAATTAATTTTTGACACACTTCCTAACAATCTGAGACCCTCTATATTCACAGCATACTTTTTCCCCCGATATAGTTAATCACTACCCAAAATTGGTTTTGCTTCTTTTATTTGAGCATATTTGTATGATGCCATGTTGATATACTAAGTTTCCTTGGGGTTAAGTACATTCATTCTCATCTATCTTATCATCTCAGCAGTTTGTCCAAGCACTGAGCTACCATGATGTTGGAACTGTGAGCCAAAAAGACAAAAGTCCCTATCTTTCCCAAATTTATCGTCTTGGATGTATAAATAAATGTTTATGCTATGAGGGTGTGCGCGACCATATGAGGATCTAAGGATACTAATGGAGAAGGGGAGTCTCCAACTAAATGAGCATACAAGACAGAAGGCTACCTAGTCGCGGCGGTGACCTCTAGAGCGCCGGGTGAACGTGACTGGAGGATGACTGGACACGTAGCCGCAGACAGTATCTTAGTTCTATGAGTGCAGAACATGTTTTCTCACACCCCAACCCTGTAAGTCTCAACATCCTATTTTAACGTTGTGTAATTAGACTTTAATCCCTTGAAGAAAAATTTCCAGTTCCTAGGATCTCAGCTTCATAATATGTGAAAAGGTATGGTCATTGAGAATCCGTAACAAAGGAACGGGGCCAAATTGATGAGATTAACCGACCTTTGAATACAGAAATGACGATTTAAGGGCATCAGATAATTTTTAAAGACATATTTATATGTGTCACTAGACAATACATATGTCATATTTTTGAGTATCTAAACATAGTGTCGTGTTAGTAGAAATCTATTTGCAATGTTTTATGCGCATATTTGGCGAGCATTATGTCGTTGATATCCTTGATTCCCTCGTCGGTTGAGTGTTCTTTTATGTATAAGTGTTTTATTTTTAGGATGGGCTGCTAACAGTTTTATATGGCTAGTTGTTTTTTCAAAACAAGAATAACATAGAACTCTTCTTCACAAAAGAAGATTCATACGCCGAACATAAATTACGTGCTCCCTGTAAAACCAAGAGTTTCCCATTAAAGCCGTCTAATTGCTGTGTAATCTTGAATAAGACAGTTAACCTATCAGAGGCCTGTCAATAAAGCAGGCTAATTTACATTCAAATGAAGAACTATTCCAGAACTGCAACTCTAAATTAAGTAGCAGTTTATTCTTTTTACTGAATAAAGTTAAAAATTGTTTTTATCATTGTATATTATATGTAATTTATAAAGGTAATATGTGGTGCGTTTCTTAGGCTGTAATCCTAGCACTCGTGTGTCGAGGGGGTTGTGATGCTTCTATGTCTCAATCTGATTCTTGTGCCTGAATTAATATAGAGCAGACCCTTTCTTACTTATAATGAATATTATTAGCCGTGGTTCTGATTGTTTTTGGATGCTATAGTTCCAGTTGAGCCCTAGAGTTTTCGAGGTTGCTATGAGGCAAGCTGTACGCACAAGTGTACTTCACTCTAGCCTGGGCAAACAAATGCGGAGACTCGTCTCAAATAATAAAAAAAGTATTATATTTCTTTTAGCATGATGTATTAACTTTGTTAACTTATATTTACTAGATCTATATAACATTATCCGTACCGGTGTCTGCCCTGTGAAAGTAGCCTAAGGCCTGTTAAAAACAAAAAGAGCCCAAATATAATGAAAAAGACTAAAACAGACTTAATATAAAAAAGGCAATTCCTTAACGATCTATTCCTGTATTAAATATAAGTCAGGAAGTATATCGTCCTAAAATAATAGTTCTTCAATAGTGAGTATTGGCTAGGCATGGAGATAGCTCATGCCTATAATTCTAGCACCCTGGGAAGCTGCGGCAGGAGGACTGTTTCAGGTCAGGAGTTCAAGATCAGCCTCAGCAAGAGTGAGACCCCATCTCTACTAAAAAAATAGAAATTAGCTGGACAACTAAAAATATATGTATATTAAAAAAAAAATTAGCTGGGCATGATGGCACATGCCTGTAAGTCCCAGGTACTTGGGAGGCTGAAGCAGGAGGATCACTTGAGCCCAGGAGTTTGAGGTTGCTGTGAGCTAGGCTGATGCCACGGCACTCTAGCCCGGCAATAGAGTGAGACACTGTCTCAAAAAAAATAAAAAACAATAACTATTTCCCAACTGTCTTTTAATTATATAATTAAATATTCTTTACATCAATATCTACACTGTAGCTTCCCAGAAAAGAAAATAGCTCCTGGTTATGATACTACTATTGGGAGAGATTTTTAAATTGCCTATTCCATTACTCTGAAAATTTTGTGATAAGTAAACCCAAAAATGTTTACCCAGAAATTCTTTTCAAATTTTATTTCTGACAGAAAAAAGGCCTTGAAAATATGAGAGAATATGAACCTTTCATACTCATTTTTTATAAAAAGTTATAATTACTGTTCTTTTATCAATTCAAACACGTGCTTTATCTTCCTAAATGACTGCATTATTGTTTAGAAAGAACCTAAAAGAACCTAACAGTTGCTGTATTTATTTCTTGTTCTACTTCATGACTTTTATATGGTATAGATTGCAAATAGAAAATGAAGGTAGATTTTAGCCATGAGCTATTTTAGCTGACAGTATTCCAGAATTATCAGCCACTCACCTAGTATTCCAGAATTATCAGCCACTCACCTAAAGTGGGGAAAAAAACCACTCACCAGTCATGAATATTAAGTATTAAGCCTTTGTGGCAAGACAGTTGAGCTGGATCATTAGAAACTTGCTCAAGTCCCTCAACGAATGAGAGCTCCATATGTGTGGACACAGTAGAATGGTGCTGTGGTTAAGAAATCAGTACTAATTTAACAAAGGACATCACACTACCTCCTCATAGGTGGAACTAGGAGGAGTTGCAAATAGCACTTGGGCGATTCTTCTTTGATACCAAGGCATTTCAGCAAATGTGTAGCACCTACAGGAAAATAAAATAATATTATACATTCAAATTGTACCTTCTTTTTTCCTCTTAAAGAGAATTAAGCATCTTAATAGATATTATAAAAGGAATATTTTAGTGTATATTTAAACAATATGTACTTTACAGGATATCCTCTAGGTTATTTAAAGACTGACTTATATTGATATATCAGTTGGAGTATATTTTGTGATTAAATATAAATAGTAAGCAATAGTACTAGTAATGGTAAATCTACTACTGAGTGCTCACTTTGTGCCAGGTGATGGGCTAAATTATTTTCTCTCTCATTTCCTTACAGCAACTAAATGAAATAGGATCATTACCCCTATTTTTTTGTATAAGAAAAACTCAGGCCGGGTGTGGTAGCTCACCCATAATCCTAACACTTTGTGAGGCCAAGGTGGGTGAATCTTTGAGCTCAGAAATTCAAGACCAGCCTGAGCAAGAGTGACACCCGCCTCTACTAAAAAAATAGAAATTAGCTGAACAACTAAGAAAAAAAAAATAGAGAGAGAGAGATAGATAAATAAATTAGCCAGGCATGGTGGCACATGCCTCTAGTCCCAGCTACCTGAGACTCTGTCTCAAAAAAAAAGAAAAAGAAAAACTCAAAGTTAAAAAATTTACCCAAGAAAAGTGACAAAACTAAACATCAAATGCATAATAACAATAGCAACCAACAATTTAAGTTCATTTTAAAGGGATGAGGTAAATGATTAACTATCCAAAGACCTTTACAATTTTCTGAAATCAGCAAGAAAAAAGTTTTGGATCCTTGACTTGGGGTCTAAACTCCTTGAGGCAGAGATTGTATCTCACTCATGTTTGCTTACTATTATATGAATCCTCACTAATGTTTGCTAGTTTAATTTACTTTTTTTTTTTTTTAAGAGACAGGATCTTGCTCTGTCTCCCAGACTGCAGTGTTGTGATCACAACTCATTGCAGCCTCAAACTCCTGGGCTCAAGAGATCCTCCTGCCTCAGCCTCCCAAAGTGCTGAGATTACAGGCATAGCCACCACACCCGGCATATTTACCTCTCTTTTAAAAGAGTTTGATACAGAACTGCTTAGATAACAATAAATATTTAGCTCTGCAGACAACACCCAAAGAAAACAACCTGGCCAACCTGTCTCAAAAAAGATTCCTGAACCAGCAAGTACTTAACACATTGGTGTACCTGCATAACAGCAAAATAATAATCTATGTTGGACATAAAATCACATAAAAATAGAAAGATACTAAAAAACAGATTATATGTCTACTGTACGATAGCCAATTTTCATTAGCACTGGTAACCTAAAGATATCTTTTCAAAAGATATGAAATTCAAAGGTCTAACAAAAAGTTTTAAGGCATTTTTAGTCTGTACAGGTTTCTAAATGACCAGAATAACAATATTTAACATGATCATAATGAAATCCAGTATGTTCTAACAATCCATGCACAAGTGCCAGTTAACGGACTGAATACTCTATACCACGTGCCAAATATAGTACTATACTACTCTTTTTTTTGAGACAGCAGTCTCACTCTCGTTTGCCCGGGATAGACTGCTTCGCGGCGTCAGCACCTACCGCTCACAGCACCTCAAACTCCTGGCTCAAGTGATCCTCTTCCTCCACTCAGCTCCCAAGAGCTGGACACAGCATGCCCACTACGTCAGGCTAATTTTTTCCTATTTTAGAGACGGGGTCTCGCTCTTGCTCCGGGCAGACTGGCGTCCTCGAACATTGTGAGCTTCAAACAACTCCACCTCGCTCGGTTTCCCAGATGCTAGGATTACAGGTGAGCCACTGTGCCCGGCCTTCAAATAATATTTTTAAATATTTTATATCTTGCTTTTTTATATATAAAATATTTATACATACTACAAAATAAAAACATACTAAATGCTGTTTAACATTTATTAAAGAATTTCAACCAAATACCCATAAGGTGAATTGAGGTGGCATCTTTAGGATTCAGTTCAATTGCTATCTAATGAGAAATGAGAAAATCAATCATATTTGTTTTCTAAACATCAGTGAGTTCTTTACTATGCTGAAAAAGCCATGATATATAAAAAAAATTGCAATTCTGTTTCAATTCTTCTATTTAACAATACAACTCTTCCTCCCTGACTTCTTTAAGTGATTAAATTCATTTCAATACATTATAATATATTAACTGAGTTACTGATTTCTATAAGGTTCATGAAAGACAGTAGGTCTATCAAGATGAGAAAAAAACATGAAATATACAAATAAATTTAATTTCAAAAACTAATAATCTATAGTTTTCAACGTTTCTTCTGGACTAAAGGAAAAATTAATAATAAAGTCATTTTTTGGCAAATTCTAGATGAATACTGAAATAGGAATCCTTCTTAAAGAAGTAAAAGTCATAATTGCTAGAAAGCTTCATTCTTTTTGCACGAGATTTTGCTCAACCTTCTTATGATATTTACTTTTTTTTTTTTTAGACTAGATCGCCACTCATGTTGTCCTGAATAGAGTCCATCCGTGTCATCTACCTCACACAAACCTCAAACTCCTGGCTCAACAGCTCTCCTCCTCAGCTCCCAAGCTAGGCTAGATACAGAGCGCCTCGCACTCAATGCCAGCTAATACTTTCTACTGTTTTATAGAGATTGGTCCTCCGCTCTTGCTCAGGCGCGGTCTTGAACTCCTGACCTCAAGTGATCCTCCCACCTCGGCCTCCCAGAGCCTACCCATCTGTATTTATCAAAGGAAAAATAAACACATTTACTATCATAAGAATATATAGTAGCGATTCATACAATATAAAATATGTTGATAAAATCTCCCCAATGTCTATTTACTATGTGAATTAGTATAAAGCATAAGCTATAGAATAACTTTAAAAAAATTACTCCTCCTTTTATCCATTATTTGTTGAAAGCCACTAAGGAAATCTCACAGATTAATGTTGATCTTATTAAAAATAAGACTTTTTAAAAAATTAAGACTTCCTAGTTTATGCTTTTCTATAAACCCACATTTTCACTTACAGTTTGGTAATGTGTAAGATCCACATTTTCAGATATTTATAATGGTTAACACATGGGCTCTGAAGACAGACTGCCAGGGTTCAAATTAAAGCTCAATGACCTAACTTGTTGTCCTTGGCAAGTTCTATATTTTAAGTTTTCTCTTATAGAAATTAATACCCCTGCCTCATCAGATTGTGGTGAAAATTAGAGTGCAAGTAACAGGAAGTGCTTAGTACAGTGATATCTTCTATCACTACCATCATTATTTTCATGAAATAATACCAGGCATTTGATTTATTACCACCATACTAACATTGCTAATGTTGTAACAGTAGTATTAAGAGTAGTAGAAACAATAGCTAGAATATGGCTAACCAAGTATATCTTGGCAGAAATCTTGCTTTGATAATATGGGTAAGAATCAGCACTGACCTAATTTTTACTTCTCCTTTGATACAGTGATATGATATTTTATTTATATGGAACTTATAATAACCTTTCCCAATTAGAGTGTCGCTAGAAAATTAAGCCCTACAAAAAATTATATGACTTACTATTTTCTCCATTCTCCTAAGAATGACAAAAAGCTACTGTAATACCATTCCAGATGCACAGAGTTAATTCATAACAACAATGGATGCTTTGGGGCATTAGGGTTCAATTTTCTTATGGGAAGTGTTGAGAGAGGCTACTTTTAAGCAAACTTTTCTTTTATCTTTCCTGCCATTAGTTTGTTGTTCAAAAACAATCCAAAGATGATAATTTCTTACTTCTTTAGGTGTATAATGGAATTTGGAATGGAAGTAGCATAAATTATCTTTTTAGTATGCAAGTACCATATACTGTCATTTTAAATATATTTACATATACATTTGAAAGCTTATACCAAACTTTTAAAATTAAAATATCTGGATATAGCATATCCAGCTCTATCTCTATGTATGTTTCCATCTTTTTCTTCCTTTTTATTTTTGAGATGGTCTACAAAATCAAAAGAAAAATAAATATGCTGTTTTTTGTGGTAGGTTTTATTTTTTGAGGACAGTGGAGTAGTATCCATGCATGCTATGGAATTCTTAGCACCTAAGAGAGAAGAGCTTACTATATATAAGTAAATTAACTTTAGGGGGAAATACTAAAACACATATATACACATACATAACACATACTGAGAGATCATAATCTTAAATAAAATTATTACTATTGAGAGTCCTATGACAGTTGTGTTAGACTGTTACATTGTACCATGCTTTCCAGTATTCAGGACTTTTGCCACTGATCTTTCTCCCATGGAAACTAGGCTTAACCATATAACTTTAGGTCAATAGGATATTACCAAGTTTTATGCAAGCAGAGGCTTGATAAAAGTTTGTACATTGGAACTTTTCCCTTGGAATGCTCATTCTTGGAAGCCAGCTACCATGTTTAGTGGCTTGGACTAGACCACTAAATGATAAAAAGACCAGTGGTGAGAAACTCTTGTAGATGAGAGGCATCTTGGACATTCCAGTCCCAGCTGAGGGCCCAGGTGAATGCAGCTAAGTCACCTCAGCTATACCAAGCAAAGGAAAAGCACCACTGCATTCAGTTAACCCACAGAATTGTAAGAAAGTATCACTGCTCTAGGCCACTAAGTTATATATAGGTGGCTTGATATACAGCAATAGATAATTGAAATAAAAATCTATTCTGAAAAACTGACATTTTAAATTCATAAACTTTAATAATTCATCAGTACCTCAAAATGTTCCTTGATTATGTACGCATTTGCAATTTTAACCTTGATGCCTTCATAATCTCCAACATCACTAATGCAGATTGCATACCACTAGAAATAGAAAAAAAAAGATACAATATTCTTAATATTCCATTCCGTACAAAGTCAAACTGTGTATTTATTCCTTAATAGTCATTCTCATTCACCAAAGTTATTGAGCATAAAAACTATATTAAATGTAGTGGGATATACAAATAAAAGTGGACATGGCCCTCTAGGAACTCAGGGATAGGACATGTTTATAGAGAACTATAATACAAGGTAGAAAGTGGTGAATTATATAAGAAGGCCACCAACACAATGAGAAGATAATGGATCATGTTTATGGTACAAGATTATTTTTTTTTATAATTTTTTATATATTTAATTTTATATTTAATTTATTTTATATTATTTATATTTTATTTTTAGTTTTTATTTATTTGTTTGTTTAGAGACAGGCACTCCATCTGTTGCCCAGACGGGAGAGCAATGATGTGATCACAGCTCATTGTAGCCTCAAACTTCTAGGCTCAGCTGATCCCCCATCCCTCCCAGTTTGGCCACCCAAAGTGCTGGGACAGGCGTGAGCCACCACACCCATCCCTGAGTAAAAAGAATTTCTAATTGAATGTTGTTTTATCTCTTTGTCTTCTTTTCTAGGACCTGCTTCTCCCCCCATATCTGCAATGTTACAATAGGAACAGCCAGCAGGGCACAAAGACCAGCCTGGGGAACATAGCAAAAGTCCATCTCTACAAAAATTTAAAAGTTAGCCAAATTTAAAAGTTAGCACATGCCTGTAATTGTAGCTACACAGGAGGCTGGGATGGAAGGATTGCTTCAACCCAGGAGTTTGAGGTTACAGTGAGCTACTGTACTGTAGCCCAAGTGACTGAGTGAGACCCTGTCTCACAAACAAACAAACAATAATAATAGGGAGGATCACTTGATATCAGGAGTTTGAGACCAACCTGAGCAATAACAAGACCCCATCTCTACCAAAAATAGAAAAAATTAGCCAGGTGCAGTAGCACGTGCCTGTAGTCCAGCTACTCAGGAGGCTGAGTCCAGGAGTTCAAGGTTGTAATGAGCTACAATGACGCCACTGCACTCTACTCAGGGTGACAGAGCGAGATTCTGTCTCAAAAAATAATAATTATTAAATAATAATAGGAAAATACATATTTGTCAATTGTGACCATGTCCCTATAGCCAAAGTCGAACAATAGACACAGACTTGAGACAATCTGAGTTTTATCTCCAAGAACTGAATCTAAAATATCCAAACTTTATAAACCCAGGTGCTGTGGAAAGTCACAAGAGTTAGTATAGGGAAGGGAAAAGTCTGCAGTGAAAAAGATTTTCAGATAACAGCAGAGAGGAGAGACAATTAAGGAAACCTCAGAGCAATCAAACCAGTTTATTCCCTGAGGCCCAATTGCACCTACCTGCCTTTGGGTTCTATGAAATACGACTTTTTAAATATATAAACATCTCCCCCTCTTTTTATTTGTTTGAGCTAATTTCTGTAGAATTCTAATAATTATAACCAAAATTATAAATATTAAATAATTATAACCAAAATAATTATAACCAAAAAGATCTAAACTATCATAACTTCTGTTTAAATCTACTCTCCACCACAATCTTTTGTATCTAGATACGTACACTGAAGTAAAATTTAAAAACACACACACACACCTCTCTATGCTCATTTAAATTTCCATTGGCAGCCACCCAGTTGCTCAAATCCAGTTGACTATAGGGGTCACACAGCTTATTAACCTTGGTGTTCTGACCTTATCCCCCATATCAGGGTCTGGATAAAATCATCTTTTATGCACTGAAGTATCATCTATAGGCAAAGCAAACACAAGCTTATGGACAACTCCTAAATTATCATCCCTTTACATTGTCATTTACAAGACTGGTCATTAATGATCATACTAGCAAGAGCTGATGATATGGTGTGATCATGGCTGACCTTTATTTTCATATTTGCACTTTTTTTCAATTTTGTCTGTAATGAGCTTTCAATTTTTAAGAAAAATTTTAAATAGATATTCCAGCCAACAAAGGGCAAAAAATACTAGACTTAACCCTCTTGCCTGAAATACTTGAAAAATTTAAAATATAACAAAGACTTTCAAGATATTAGCAAAAGTGACAAGCAACAGTGACACCTGAGAGACAAAAAACAAGGTGAATCCTACAATTGCTCTAGATTATTGCCTGAAGAGGATTTAGTCTTGGATTTAGTCAGGCTATAGTCCAGGGAAGATGCCAAGCCCAGCAGTCTCTCTGCACTGAGGATAGAACTGGAAATCTGAGGAAACCCAAATGTGTGGAGTTCACAAGCTGGAGAACTAGAGAGGAGACAGATACCTAGAGCAAAAATTCCAGAAAACTGCAAAGGGTACCCTTCAGTATTCAGCTGAATAAAGATCACCACTTGCATGTGAAGAAATTATTAATATCAAAGGCTGGGAAAAGAACCACCCAAAAGGATTAGACACCCAGAACTCACAAAGGGCTGGGAACATCTGTTGTGGTAAAAACCCTAGATTAAATGCTGCTCTAGTACAGCTTAACAAACCTTTAAAAACAAAATCCAAAAGGATCAATTGTTTCTGAGTAACTGAACCATGTCCCAAAATACAGCTCAAGAACATTTTTAGTAATACAAAAATATTCAGCACCCAAGAAAGTAAAATTCACAAAGTCTGACAATCATTAATCAAAAATTACTAATCATGCAAAGAATAAATTTAGAACCCTACCTCACACCATGTATAAACATTAACTCCAAATGAATCAAGGACATAAATGTAAGAGCTAAAAAAAAAAGATAAAACTCTTAGAAGGAAACAAAGGTGAAAATCTGCACAACCCTGGATTAGGTAATACTTTTTAAGAAATGATATCAAAGGCACAATCAATCCAAGAAAAAATAAATAAATTGGACCTCATCAAAATTAAGAACTTGTGCATCAAAGAACACTATCAAGAAAGTGAAAAGACAATCCACATAATGTGAGAATATTTGCAAATCATATATCTAACAAAGGACTAGTATCCAGAATAAGTCAATAAAAAGACAATCCAATTTAAAATAGGCAAAGTCCTTCTCTTTGTATTTGTGTGGAAAAAAAAATTTTTTTAATGGGCAAAGAATTTAAATAGATACTTCTCCAAAGAAGATATATAAGTGCCCAACACAGTTAGGAAAGATGCTCAACATCATTAGTTTTTAGGAAAATGCAAATCAAAACCACAATGAGATACCATTTTACACCTGCTAGGGTGGCTATAATAATTTTTTTTAAAAGCACAATAACAAATATTGCAAGAATCTAGAGAAATTAGAATCCTTATACATTGCTGGTGGCAATGTATGACAACATGCAGCTGCTTTGGAAAACAGTTTCAGTTCCTCACAAAGAATTACATAGAATTACTATATAGCCCACCAACCCCACTCCTAGATATATACAGAAAAGAATTAAAAACAAGTGTTTAGGCCGGGCGCGGTGGCTCACGCCTATAATCCTAGCTCTCTGGGAGGCCGAGGCGGGGCGATTGGCTCAGAGTCAGGAGTTCAAAACCAGCCTGAGCAAGAGCGAGCAGACCCGTCTCTACTATAAAAAAGAATTAATTGGCTGATATATATATAAAATTAGCCGGCATGGTGGCACATGCCTGTAGTCCCAGCTACACGAGAGGCTGAGGCAGTAAGATCGCTTGAGCCCAGGAGTTTGAGGTTGTTGTGAGCTAGGCTGACGCCACGGCACTCACTCTAGCCTGGACAAACAAAGCGAGACTCTGTCTCAAAAAAAAAAAAAAAAAAAAAAAAAAAACAAGTGTTTAAACAAAATACTTATATATGAATGTTTACAGCTGCACTATTAACTATTTTCAAAGGTGAAAATTAACCAACTGTCCATCAACTACTGAACAGATAAACAAAATGTGGTATATCTATATAATGGAATATTATTCATCCACAAAAAGGAATAAAGTACTGTTACATGTTGATGGACTTCAAAAACATTAAGATAAAGATGTCAGACAAGAATGATCACATAATGTATGATTCCATTCATTTGAATACACAGAATAGATAAAGCTATAGAGACACAAAGCAGATGAGTAGCTGCTAGGGGCTGGAGCTAAGAGGGAATGGAAAGTGACTGCTTAATGGGAACAGGATTTTCTTTTGAGGTGATGACAACATTTGGAGTTCGTTGTGTAACACTGTAAATGTACTAAATGTTACTGGACTGCACGCTTTAAAATGGTTAATTTTATGGTATGTGAATTTACCTCAATTAAAATTAAAAACAGGTATATACACAAAAACTTGTACACAATTGTTTACAGCAGCTTATTCATAATATTCTTATCAGCCAAAAGTTGAAAGCAACCTACATGCCCATTAGCTGATGAATAACAAAAAAGTGGTATATCCATACATTAACATAGTATTCAGCCACAAAAGGGAATGAGACACTTTCACTTGTTTGACATGGATGAATCCTGAAAATATTACGCGCTAAGTGAAAGAAGCCAGGCACAAAAGGCCACATGTTGTGTGATTTGTCCAGCATAGGCAAATTCATGGAAACAGAAAGTAGATTAGTGCCTGCCAAGGAATGGGAGGAGGGGGAAATTGGGACTAACTGGTAATGGATATGGGGTTTACTTTCAGGGGTAATACAAGTGTTGAATTAGATAGTGCGATGGTTGTGCAAAATAGTGATGAATATGCTAAAAACCACTGAAATATACACTTTAAAATGGTGAATTTTATGTAATGTGAAGTAATCAATAAACATGCTATAAATATGTGAAAGTAACAACAGCAAGACCTATCACTTGCCTACAAAGACTATATGTTAAATATAAAAACACAAATAAGTTCAAAGTAAAAGGACAAGATATACCATGCTAACATTAATCAAAAGAAAGCAAGAGTGGTTATATTAATATCAAACTAAACTATAAAACCAAGAATATTTCTTGAGATAAAGAGGATCATTTTACAATGATAAAGAAATATATTTCATCAAGAAAATATAATAATCATAATTACTTGTATCTCTAATAACAGCACCTTAAAATACATGCTGTAAAACTAATAAAATTACAAAGAGAAATAGACAAATCTACACTTATACTTGTAGATTGATTTCAACACCCCTCTTTTAATAATTTATAGAACAAGTAGACAGAAAATCAATAAGGATTTAGAAGATTCAAACAACACTATCAACCAACTTGAAATGACATTTATAAGATATTCCTAACAACAGCTGAATACATATTTTTTTCATGTGAACAAAGAACATTTACAAAGATGGATGGTGATGATGACATGGAACCACTTTCTTAGCCATAAAACAAGTCTCAATAAATTTAAAAGAATTTGGACCAGGCATGGTGGGTCATGCCTGTAATTCCACCACTTTGGGGAGGCCAGGTGGTAGGATCACTTGAAACCAGGAGTTCAAGACCAGCCTCGGCAACATAGTGAGATCATGACTCTACAAAAAAATTTAAAAACTAGCTGGGCATGGTGGCATGCACCTGTAGTCCTAGCTACTTGGGAGGCTGAGGCAGGAGGATTGTTTAAGCCCAGGAGTTCAAGGCTGTAGTGAGCTATGATCATGCCATGGCACACCAACCTGGACAACACAGTGAGACCCTGTCTCAGGACAAAAAAAAAAAATGCATATTTGCTCTATCCTCTATATAAACTAGTAGTAGTTCTATTGGGGAGGGGGAGAATACCAACCCCTCAAGGGAACATTTGGAATGTGTGGGTTTAGCATCTGGTTGTCACAATAATTCGGGGGCTCTACTGAGGGCAGCCCAACATGATAAAGAAATGCCTTAATCCCAAAGCCAATAATTGCGTTCCCTTGTCTCCCCACACTCTCTACTGAAAAACATTGTTCTAAACCAATTAGGAAATCTAGAATCTATTAATAGCTGAGTTAATGTGAAAAATTATACTAAGTGTCAGTTGTCCAGCTACTACATTCCTACCTCCACATAAAATAGAAATAGAATGTGAGGAAAATGAGAAAATATTTGTCAAGTGCTAGGAATAAAGGTAAGTTATAAAATTACTAAAACTTTTGTTTAAAAATAAACACTCACAAAGCTAATTTGCCAAACATACTAATGAAGTTAGACTAAATGTTCAAGAACACAAAAAACTACTTCTTTCTGAAAAAAGATTATGAAAATAAATCTGTTCCCTACTTCTTTAAAATAAAGAAATTTTCCTTCCTACGTAAATTAAGGATAACAAGTAAGTACAGACCAATGTACCTCTCATTGCATAGTAGCAGCTTAACTTACTTTAAGCAACTCACCTTATGAGCTGCATAATTTGATTCATTTTTTTCTAGTGCTCTTTTTGCATACTCTAGGGCTTCATACACCAATAGCTTTTTCTCTTCTTCTGAGGTTTTGCTAAGCTGAGCTATATCACGTGATGCCCGTGCCAAACGCCATAGTAACTCTGCATCTTCACTAATTTGAAATAAAATATAAAACAACCATTTCAGCTCACATTTAAAAACTGTTAAAACTTACATCACTAATGAATACATTATGGTCTTTCAGGTTAGTTAAAAAGCAAGCAACATGACATCAAAAGCCATTATCAATGTCCTAAACTGATTATTTTCTTTCATATAAAACATTTATTTGCTAAAATTTCCTATAAAAATATTTAATATTATTCATAAATATTAACTTACCTATGGTATCTAAAATACTGACTTCATTAGAAAACATCTTTGTATTTGAATTCTCTAAACACTTGCCCTATGAAACTCAACATACAACTTAAGGCTTAACCTCATTGGCACTGTGCTTCAGACAACTCATTCACTGGTTGATACAGTACTATAAAATACTTTATACAGTACCATAAAGTACTTATAGACAGGGTCATATTCTAAAAAACCAAGATTGCTGAATCCCTAGCCCCAAATACAGCAGTTGGCACATAACAGGTATATGATAAATATCTGTTAATGAAATAAATGATTGAATCTAATGTAATCTTAAAATAAATCCTATGTTTGAATGCCATGCCATGATGCATAGCTTATTTCAAGGGCACTGGACCCGTGACAAACTGCCATTTCAATATTATTAGATAAGAAATGCTCAATAAATTATTAACCATAATTAACAGCCATATTGTTAAAAACCTAAATTTTTTGTTTTTTTCTTTTTTTTTTTTTTTTTTGAGATAGAGTCTCACTCTGTTGCCCAGACTAAAGTGTCATGGTGTCAGTCTAGCTCACAGCAACCTCAAACTCCTGGGCTCAAGCAATCCCCTCCTGCCTTCAGTGCCCTATATATATATATATACATATGTGTATATACATATATATATGTGTAGTATATATCATATACACACACACCCACATACACCACACATATAGATATTTTTTTTAGTTTTCCAGCTAATTTCTTTCTATTTTTAGTAGAGATGGGGGTCTCATTCTTGCTCAGGCTGGTCTCGAACTCCTGACCTTGAGCGATCCTCCCACCTCAGCCTCCCAAAGTGCTAGGATTATAGACATGAGCCACTGCACCCAGCCCTAAATTTGTTTTTTATTAAATGTTTGCCTTTGAGCCTACTTTATATTTCTTGTTTTTTAACAAAAAAGGTATTCCTATACTAAAGGTAGTGCTAATATAGTTATTATTCAATGACTGTGGAATAACTACCTTACAGCTTACTTTTCAAGTTATCACTTAAATGACTATAAAATGCCAAACCAGCCAGGCGCGGTGGCTCACGCCTGTAATCCTAGCACTCTGGGAGGCTGAGGCGGGTGGATTGCTCGAGGTCAGGAGTTCGAAACCAGCCTGAGCAAGACCCCGTCTCTACTATAAAGAGAAAGAAATTAATTGGCCAACTAATATATATATAAATTAGCCAGGCATGGTGGCACATGCCTTAGTAGTCCAGCTACTCGGGAGGCTGAGGCCAGGATTGCTTGAGCCCAGGAGTTTGAGGTTGCTGTGAGCTAGGCTGACGCCACGGACTCACTCTAGCCTGGTCAACAAGCGAGATGTTGTCTCCAAAAAAAAAAAAATGCCAAACCAGCCACCTCAAGTTACTGAGAGGAGTATGGAGAAGGAAAGATGGATCATACAGATATTCAGAAAAGTAAAATTGATAGGTCTTAGGGAGAAAACTGGCTTTGGGGATCTAAGAAATGTAGTTAAAAATGACTCAATATATATATTTTTAAATAATTATACAGGAAAAGAATTTATTTCTTACAGTTCTGGAGGCTGACCCAATATTTTTTATTTTTAGTTTAGTAGATAAGGTAGATTAATGATCTGGAAATACCACTTAGCTTTATTTGACTTATTTTCTAGGATTGAATCTCTTCCTCCCTCCATCTTCAAAAAAACTGTGCTTCTGAAGTGATACACAATTACCATTCAATGGTGGCATAGAGTCATACTCAATCCCAGTGAATGCATTTAAATATACACCCATACAGAATTACATTTAAAAAGAAGAGAAATACACAATACAGATAGAGGAGATAAAACATATATTCAATGACTACCCTGTATGATTAAAATCAATATGGCAAAAATGTTTCAATTTTCCACTGGAATAAGTAGAACCACCTTTTCTAAAACAATGAGATACATGTAGCACTTTTGAGTCATTTAATGTAAGATAGAAACAGTATATTATAAAGTCCTAAGAAATAATTTTGAAGTAAACACTACAAAAATCAATTAAAAAATTTCAAGCACCAAAGACCACTTTAAATGTTAAAAAACACCAAAATTTTTAGGAAACCACAAACTTAGCCCAATTATACACTACCTACCTTTCCTTGTATTGGGTTAGCAACTGATAAAGTTTTTCTGTTTCTCCCCAAACCCTTTTTATTTTTTCATTATAGGGTAGTCTGCTGTTCAGATATGCTTCAACTTCAAAGATCATAAAAGGAAAAAGACATATAAAGTAGGTCTTCCAAAGTCAGATTCCAATAATTCTAAGAAACAAACACTTTTATATATAAGTAAATAAAATCAGATATAGAAATCACCTATAAAAAAGATCAGAAATTCTGAAGAACCTAGATGAAAGTATAGTAGAAATAGTATTAAAGTATCACAAGAAAGATTTTTTAAAGTCTATGAAATAAAAAAAAGAAATTTATTCTGGTACTGACTAAATATTACACATTTTTTTAAAAAATGAAAAAAAAATTTCCTGTGAGGAATTTATGGGTACATATGCCCTTTACACAAATAAAGAGTTGTTGTTATAGAAAATGATGATAGAACTCGTCTACTAGCAGCGCTGAATATTATTTATTTGCATGGAATGAACCAGACACTGTTTTACTAAATCCTCTTTATGACAAAACTTACATATACAGACACTGTTAGGGAAAAAGAGTCAAATCTGAAATCAGACACTTAGCTGAAGTTAACTACACAGAGAATCTGAAACTTACCTCATTGGCACTATGTTCCAACCAATTCTTATAACTAGTTTATACATGACTACAAAATACATGAACCTTATTGACAATGTAATGCCCTAAAAAATTGTCTACTCACCAAAAAATGCAGTAGTTTGATTTCACATTCTCATATTAGCTAGCAACATGTAACGTTAAGTTTTGTTTATGTAAGTTTGTGTATACTATTAGCTACTTCTAAGTTAATATTCTAATGTGTTCAGTAAGTCTTTATTATTATTCTTGTATACTAAGATTTTAATTTTAAATTTAAATTAGACCAGCAATAAAAGAAAAATCCATGAAATTTGTGACCACAAGCATCATAACGAATTTTCTTATAAGCCATCATTTGCTTATTAACTAGTTAAGAAATTTGATAAAAGACCCTAATAAATTAAAATAAAAATTTCTTTTCCGTAATCTTACTTCAATTGATTACAGTCTTTTAATTTATGATATTCACAGGGCTGGTTAATTTTTCTAAAGTTTATTTCCATTCTATTCTGTTTTATATTTTTATCTGATAAGTGGTTGATTCTCAATGTTATTTGGTTTTGTATGCACGAAACATTGTTTAACAAAATATGTGTCAGTTTCTTATCCTTTAGTGGTATTTTGTGTTAGGCAGTCGGAATAATGCCCTTTCACAGATTCAACTCTTAGTCCCTGTTTGTTTGTATGTATGTTACAGCACTGTGTTGTGTGTTAAGTGGCTGTGAGCTAAGCCTTCACAAATAGGAGCATTTGTTTGTTGGTGCCCAATGTATGTGTGTGATTAAAGTGAAAAGAACAGTTTTTGTGAAAGAGTCAGGTGAAGATAGAATGATGATGAGTGTGGTGTGGTTGAATCTGGAAAGCTTTTAGCAAGAAGGTAAGAAGCTCAGAGGCTGAAAACAAAGAATGATCGTCTTGAAGCTTCTGAAGGATCCAACGTCCTGCGCAGACCACCCTTTTGATTTCTGAACTATTAAGATAATAAATTTTTGTTGTTTTAAGCCACTGAGTTTGTTTCAGGAGTGACAGGAAACTTAATACCAGTATTAATCTCAATGTAGCTGATTCTGGGTATACTTTGAAGTGTACATTGGTCATGCGTATGGCAAGTTACTTTTAATCTATTCATGATAGTTCTCTGACTCCCTGAGAAGACTGATTACTGTTCTTAACAGGATCTAGGAATTCGACATCTCATCACCCAAGTAATTAAAAGAAAAAGGTAGAAATTTAGTGAATAACTGAAATATTTTTTGTGTACTTTTTTTTATATTCTCTCAAATCACTTAGCACCAACTTCTTTATTACACAGTGTAATATCATAAGCTATAATATCCTGGCTTTAAATATATGTTATATAATTTTCCCCTATTCTAAAAAGGAATTTCTAAAATCATACAGTTTATAATTTATAAGAAAAAAGGACACTTACTATGGTACTACAGACTCACATAGGCACTAGGGTAGGAGCATGTAGACCACTCCACATATCTGCAAATCAGTTGTGTTTTTTACTTAATGCTCTGCATCTTCCTGAAAATATTTAAAAATAAGCTATGTTACTGACATAAAGAGACCATATTCTGTAAAAGGGACTAAGTTTTAAAGTAAATTACTTTCAACTTAAGTAACAATAAACATCCAAAGATGGATTGAGATGTTAATTTACCAACAACTGTATAGTGAACTCTTAAATTTAGCCTACAATGAATATATGCAAGATCATAACAACTCTTAGAATTTTTCAAAGAAAACAACGTCAATGATATGACATTCCTATGTATGTTAGTAAACTTTGGCTTTCTAGTTTTTTTTGTTAACTGTTACTCTAGCCATGTGAAAGGTATCTAGACAAGTATGAAATGCTCTTAGATATTCCTTTGGCAAGATAAAGAGGTTTTTATATATATAAGACTTAAAAAGTGGAAAATATAAGTATCTAGATGCAAGGCTCTAAGTAGCATCGACATCATCAAAATTTAAGGCAAATCTTTCACACCCATAATACTGTCTCAGCAGTATGGGAAGCAATGCTACCAAAAATGCCCAGAAGTGTAACAATTAAACATATATGAAGGAGCACTGATTTCAGTTCTGAAGGTTCATCAATAAAGAAGAATTTTCAAAAAGTGTATGAAAAGAAGAAAACTAAAGTGACATATGAAGAACCTTTATTTAAGTTGGGCACTTATAATTAACTTATCTTTTAAGCATCTTACAGATGAACTTTCACACACACACAGAGTACTGTGAATGTATTAGCATATCCTTTTTTAAGGGGCTTTATATTTTATCTACTTTAAAGAAATAATGAAAAAGTTCCTATAGGAGTGCTTCAGTTAATGCTAATAAGTGAGTATCTTGTACCACTTTGTGGTAAATATAGATGTTACCATTTAAAAAATCAGTCCTATAATCCCATCCAATTGCAATATCAATAATATTTATGCCCTTAAACTTCAATTAATTTTCAAAAAAGTCCCACCTCAGAATATGGCTTAGTCCCAGTAAATGGATGAGGAAAAGTTTTTTAATTGGCTTTGAATAAGCATGAAGCAGACTAAAGAGAATTAAGCAGAAATTTTGAAGAGTGGAAATTCTTTGAAGATCATTTCTCCAAAAATATATAGCAAATAGGTACTCAAAAAAAAATACTTTTGAAGAAAGTAATAAATATATTATGCTTATAAATTTTTTACATGTCATTAATATACAAACATCTTAGTAAAATAATTTCCTGCACTTTGACATTTTTAATCACTGAAGACACTGCTGATAGTTAATGATTTGGTGGCATAAACAGCATTTTTTCCCCCAGAAGCTAGACCTTACAATTTTATTGAGTATTTTTCTTTTAAATTTCAGAATATTATGGAGGGACAAACATTTTGGTTACATACATTGCCTTTGCATCGCGAAGTCACAGCTACAAGTGTGGCCATCCCCCAGACAGTGTGCTCTGCACCCATTAGTTATGCATTTATCCATCCCCTCCACCCCCCTCCTACCTGCCTGGCACCTGAAGAGTATTACTTCCACGTGTGCACCTATGTGTTGATCAGTTAGTAATAATTTGATGGTGAGTACATGTGGTGCTTGTTTTTCCATTCTTGTGATACTTCACTTTGAAGAATGGGTTTTAGCTCCAACCAGGATAATACAAGAGGTGCTGCTAGATCACCACTGTTTTTTATGGTTTAGTACTCCATGGTATACATATACCATTTTTTTTTTTTTTTTTTTGAGACAGAGTCTCACTGTATTGCCCAGGCTAGAGTGCCGTGACATTGGCCTAGCTCACAGCAACCGCAACCTTCTGGGCTCAAGCAATCCTGTCTCAGCCACCGGAGTAGCTGGGACTACAGGCATGCACCACCATGCCTGGTTAATTTTGTCTATATATTTTTAGTTGACCAATTAATTTCTTTCTATTTTTAGTAGAGATGGGGTCTCCCTCTTGCTCAGGCTGGTTCTGAACTCCTGACTTGAGCGATCCTCCCACCTTGGCCTCCCAGAGTGCTAGCATTACAACTGTGAGCCACTGCGCCCGGCCAAGCCCAGGAGTTTGAGGTTACTGTGAGCTAGGCTGACACCACAGCACTCTAGCCCGGGCAACAGAGTGAGGCTCTGTCTCAAAAAGAAAACACAAATTTTTGTCTTTGAAGTTTTTATTCTATTTTCATAATAAAACACTGTGGCCTCAAGGAAAAAAAAATTTTCTAGTGTGGCAGTCAATGTGTTAAAATATTGTAATTTTTCCCCAAATTTCAAATTAAGTTTAATGTTAGGACTGGAAATAACATTTAGAGTTATTTTTGTGGGTACATACTTTTATTTTTACACTGTAGAGGAAATGACAACTTTTCAAAATATTGTGTAAGTGAATATACGTATAAGACGGTCAGAACTAAAGAATTAGTGCATACTGGTTGAAAAGAATCTATGATACAGTAAACAGATACACAAACAAGGCAAGTACAAGTTGAATATTCCTTATGTGAAATGCTTGAGACTAGAAGTGTTTCGGATTTGGGATTTTTTCAGGTTTTGGAATATTTGCATATATATATCTTGGGGATAGAACCCAAATCTAAACATAAAACTCATTTATGTTTCATATGTACCTTATACACATAGCCTGAAGGTAATTTCATATATTTTTTCTTTTCTTTTTTAAGAAATAAAATTTTTTACACTATAACTTTTTCAGACATCTCTTTAACCTGTAAATATATTTTAATAATTTTGTGCATGAGACAAAGTTCATGTACACTGAATCATCAGAAAATAAAGGTGTCACTATCTCAGCCACCCATTTGGACAATGTGTGGTTGTGTGGTTCCACCATCATTCCTGACTCTGAGTTTATACGCTACCAATAAGCAGTTTTTTACACTAATTCACGCATAAGTACTTAACAGTATAAAATATGACATACCATTAATATAGTGAAAAAATAATGTG